CGCCCACGCCAGAGGTCTGAGATCCCCTGCAGGCACGCGGGGCCGTGCCCGACCGAGGTCGCATGCTCGCCACCGCCCCGGCCGAGGTGGATAACTGGCGCTTCTTGCCAGTGGAGACGCGCGGCGCGACCGCGGCCTTATAGCCCTTCCAAGGGGGCCACCTGGAGATCGAACGCATCTCGTCGCCGTCGCCCCCCCTGGTCTCCTGCGCCGCGAAGAAATGCGGCGGCGGGCGCTCGCGACTCTCGAGCCCCCAGTCACGCGCCGCCTGACAAGAGCTGCGGTAGGTCGAGCTCGACCACATGTTCACGTTCACTGTGCTACAACGCCAAGTCGCTGCCTCGGCCGACGCGTCGCGTCGGCCTCGCTGACTGCGGCGGCCGCCAGGAGCTGTGCTTGCGGCGCTTGCCTTTGAGATTCGCCAATCTGAGCGCTTCCTGGACAGCGCGTTTGGTGGCTGCCTTGCGCCCCTCTGGATCGGCAGCTCCCGCGCGATCGGCGGGGGCCCGGGCAGCTGCGGCTGCGACCCTGGCGGGTGCGCCCTCGCCGAGCTCCGCGCCATCGGACTCGCCCGCTGGCAGGCCCACCCCAGACACAGGGCCAGGCCCGCGAGCATGGCCCATCTTGCCCTTGCAGGAGCCCGATGAGCTTCTCAGGGCGCCCCCAGCCGTCCGCGCGTCGAGCCGCTCTTTGATGCCCGCGCATGCCTCCTCGATTTGCTGGCCCGTGATGCCATCGACGTCAAGCACTGGGACTGCGACGCCAGCCCCTCCATGCTGCTGCTGGAAATTCGACCTGGCCCCCCCCCTGCGGCTTCGGCGCAGCGGCTGCGGCTTGGCGGACCGCCGCCGCGAGCTCGGCGAGCTCTCTGTCCAAGGCCTCGCTCTGTCTCTGCACCTCCTCGCGGCGCGAAGCCAGCAGCCCGCGGGCCTTGGCCCCCGCGCCCTCGGCCATGGCCAGGCGCTGAGAGATGTCCATCCGGGTGGCCTCGGGAGGCTTGCAGGCCGCGACCAACTCCCGAATCTCCTGGGCTGGCCTCGGCGCTGGCATACTTGGAGCAGTTGCGCCCGCGCTAGAGGCGCGCCCGTAGCTCCCCGGCGCGGTCCGCGATGACGGGCCCGCTGCATCGCAGCGAGCTGCTGGGGCCACGCCGCGCCAGCTGCTTCAACGTGGACTGGGCCAGCCTCGACAGATCCTCGAATTCCTTGCTGCTCTGCCCGCTGTTGGACGAGGGCGGCCCATTGGCCCGCTTGCCCGAGCTGCTCGGCGACTCTGGGCCCCCTCCACCAGCAACGGCCTTTCCATCAGCGGCCTCGGCGGCGCGGGCGACACTGGGCGGAGCAAAAGCCCCGCGGCTGCACTCGCGACGCCCACTTCCCACTCCGACTGCACTTCCCACGCGACCAGCGAGGTCCCTTCGGATCGAGAAGAACATCTTTGCTGCCCGTCACGCTGCGCGATGAGCTCGCGAAGGCCGCGCGGTATGAGACCGCAGTGCGATGCGCGAAATTTGGCCTTGCGATCAGGACAAAAGGTCGGAACCGCTCCTCGCCAATGCCGAATGAGCTCCTGTCCTGAGCCACCGCTACGGACTTGAGCCAAAATGGCTACGGACTCATCACGTCACCCTCGCTCCTCCTCCCGCGCACACCCTCCACCGCCTCCGCGCCTCCAAGGATGGCGTCGGAGAGTCGGGGGGTCGGCGCGTCGGGCGAGACGTGGGGCTTGGCGTCGGGGACAATAGCCGCCGCTGCTTCCACCAGGCTGGCAGTGCCCAGCCTCTCCACCATCTCGTCATCCAGCGTCGCCCGGGCGTCGTCGATCTGGCCGCCTTCCACGGCGCGGGTGCTCGCCGCGCCGGCCAGCCCAGAAAACCGCGACACCTCTGCGAACGAGCTCAACTCCGCCTGCGGCACCGCGCCGCACTGACGCTGGCCACCAGGTGAAGGCGGCGTCGAAAGGGCCAGCTCCGCGACGGAGCTGGAGGCCACCTCGGGCGCCCTGTGGAACGCACTGCGCTAAAGCGTCTCGCCCACGACCTTCTCCGCGGCGCGCTGCATGAGCAGGGGCAGCGCCACGCCGCCCTCGGCGCCCATCACAAGGCCAGATAGGTCGTCGCGGACGATGGCCACGTCCCTACCCACATCTATTGTGGCCTCCCCGCCCGCTTGGTGCCCATGGCGGCCACGGCCACCCCTTTGGCCCAGGCGGCGGGCGGCATCGGTCACTGCGCCAAGCGTTAGCCCATGCAGGCGCTGCACGGCCCTACCACCGCTGTGCGGCCACTCGCGCACCACCTGGGCAGCGGCCACCTGGGCCGTGGGCCCAGCCTCGACAGCAGGCGCGCGCTGCCCGGGCGGCGGCCGGTGCGGCGGCAGCGGGCCCCGGGCCGAGATGTGCAGCCACAATCGCGACGGGTTGCCGCGAAACAGGGAACCCTAGCCGCTCTCTGTGCCCGTCGACCCGACAGGGCACTACAGGGAGAGACGCGCCGCACCTCGCCTGCGTGGCGCCTAAGGCAGACTTGAGCCAAAATAGTTATGGATATGTGTGTGTTTGTGCGCGTGAGTGTGCGTGTGTGTGTGCCTGTACGTATGTCTGTTTGTCTGTCTGTCTGTCTGTCTGCCTGTCTGTCTGTCTGTGTGTCTGTCAGTCTGTCTGTTTGTCTGTGTTTGTATATGTGTGCGTGTGTGTATGTGCGCGCGTTTGTGTGTACGTGTGTGCGCGTGTGCGTCTGTATGCGTTTGTGTCTGTGTGCGTGTGTGTGTATGTGTGCGTGTGCGTGTGTGCGCGTGTGCGTCTGTGTGTGCGTGTGTAAACATGTTGTTGGGAAGCATCTGCAACTGCTTCGACAACCCATGGTGTTGGAATCAATTCGAGCGCGCGTGTGGCCTGAATTCGTGCACTGGACGCATGCTGGATCAACGCGGATGCACCGCGTGGTCAGATGAGACCGCGGGCCCCGCAAGAAATTGTTAAAACAACCTCACTGTCGTGTGATTTCAGCAAGTGCGCGAGGGCAAAACTTGTGTTGAAGGAACCTGATGTTTGTATGTTGAAGCGCTAGCAAAACGGATGTGTTTGGCACGATTTCGAAATATGTGTGCGCGCGTGGATTTTGCAATATGTATGTCTTTGCGAAGGGTTCTCGGACACATAACTTTTGAGCTAAAGGAGAGTGCGCGCACAGTCTTCTTTGGCAAGGCTGAGGGGGAGATAGCCGGCCCCCTGTGATTGAACGAACCCATGGAGAAGTGAACGATGATGCAGATTTAGAAATGAGTTGCAGTACGAGAGAAAAAATATGATTCCATGCTCGGCATGGTGGTGGAATCTATCTTTCTTTTGAAATGAGACCCTATGTGCTTCGAGCTATGTGTTGTACGCACGGGGCGCCCACGAGGCGCCCACGTGCCGCACAGTGGCGAAACCTCGACGGGCCCACCCAACGTACGGGGCGCTCACGAGGCTCTCATTGAGCGGCATCATGGCGAAACACCATGGCGAAACCTCGGCGAAGCCACCCAACGCACAGGCGGCAAATCCACTCAGCGCACGGGGCGCCCATGAACCGCTGGCGGGCGGCCCATGACCCACCCAACGCACGGGGGCGCCCACGAGGCGCCCACGGGCGGCACCGTTCCAAAATCTCGGCGGACCCTCCCAAAGCACGGGGCGCCCACGAGCGGCAAATCTCGGCGGCCCCATCCGGCGCGCGGCGAGCCCACGAGGCGCCCACGGGCGGCAACGCGGCGAAACCTCGACGGACCCACCGAGAGCAAGGGGCGTCCGCGAGCGGCAAACCTCGGCGGACCCACCGATTTTTTTCCTCATCGCAATCGCCTGAAGGTTCGCTCGCGCAGCCTTCTTGAAAGGTAGTCTGGCGGTCCCTGCTGAAAGCGAGCATCTTGCTATACAATCAGATCATTAACATTCGGTCCTTTGCGTCCAAGACAGATGCTATGATTCAGCCTGGAGTTAAACTTGTGTATGTTGCCTAGTTTCCCAGGGCGGGAAGTCGGCCAGTTAGAAATTCAACATCTACAGTGTACTGCTAGTGATAAGGTACAGAGGGAGGAGATAGGAGGAAGGATCGAACAAATGAGGACAGGAGTAAGGAGGAATGGGCGAATGGCAGCACGGATCTTTGAGATGAAGAATGATGCGAACGCGCTTGCGGGGTTCGCGACCTATCCGTGCGCGAGCCGCCCCGCGCACGAAACTGTAGCGGGCGGCACCGCGGCGGGCGGCACCGTGGCAAAGCCTCGGCGGACCCACCCACCGCGCGGGGCGCCCACGAGGCGCCCACGGGCGGCAACGCGGCGAAACCTCGGCCACACCGAGCGTACGGGGCGCCCATGAGGCGCTGGCGGGCGGCAGTGCGGCGAATCCTCGACGGACCCAGCCAGCGCATGAGGCGCCCACGAGGAGTCCACGGGGGGCACCGTTGCAAATCTCGGCGGTCCCATCCAATCCCTCAGGGACACAAGCAAGAGCCCTCAAGTGCAAACACTGTCTGTTGAACACCAAGTCAAATCGTCGGATATCGTCGAGTGCGCGCAAGCTGGTCGGCACAGACCGGGTCATGAGTTCAACGAGCAGAGACGAAAAAACAAATTCTACAGGGACTGGTCTGTGCCGACTGGTACCGCAACAGCAAAGGGCAGCAAGTCTGCTTACAGAGGAGAGCACGGGACAACCAAAGACTTGATGACTGGTCTGTGGTGACTGACTGCAGCGCGTCTACGACGGGCTCATACCGTGCCGACCCCAGCGTTGGTTTCCAACACCGCGCGGATCGTTCAGGCCTGAACGATCGGCGGCGTCTCGACCGCCAGGTCGTCTCACATGGGCGGATTCTGGGCCACTGGCGGCGCTCGGCCTTGCACGCCCGCGGCGGGGTCGCCGCCGCGGGCGACACGACGCGGAACCTGCCGCACGAGACCTGCTGCCCCCCCGTGCCCGCGGCCTGCAGCCCCCTCCCCCCCGTCTGGCCCGACCTCCAGCGCGACCCGGGCGCCCCTCTCCGCCGCGGCGCGCGCCGCGGGCCCCCGCATCCGCCCGGCCCGGCCGGACCAGCCGGGGGGGGCGGCCGCGCCGGAGCGTCGGGGGGAGGGCGGGCGCGCGGTCCGCTGCGGCACGGGGGCGGGGGAGGGCCAGTCGCAGCTCGGGATGGAGGCGGCTCGTCTCCAGCAGGGGGGAGGAAGGAGGAGGCCCAGACCTCTGACGAGGCGGCCGTTCGCAATCAAGATGTGCTTCTCTGACTTCGGCCTCCCGGGCTTGTGCTCGGGCCCTGGGGCCACCAAACACAGTCCCCAGAGGGAAAGCTGCCCCCAGGGAAGACGCCGGGACCTTGCAGGGCCGCGCACTGAAAGAACACATCGTCGGATGTCTGAGCAGCTGGGAGGTGGGAGCCATACCGCGCTGCTGCAGCTGCGGCGGCACTGCTAGGCCTCAGCCTGCACGCCAGAGGGAGGCCTGCATCGTACTGATCGCGAGCGCTCGCAGACCTGGCGGCGACCGACTCGACCGCGCCTCGCTCCACCACACGTCAAGAGACGTACACGCAAGAGACACGCAGGAGCCAGACCCGCCATCCTGGTCAGACCGTCCGCCAACGCCAGGAGGTCGCACTGGCCATCTATATTGATGTGCTCACAACCACAGGTTACGGCGGTGCCGCCGCGCGCGCGGGAGCGTGGAGACGGACCTTTTGATAACAAGAGGTCGCTCAAACATCGATATCTCGAGATTTGACCGTTCGTTTGGGATGGGACAATTCTGCTGGGCAACTTGGCTATTTTTCTTGTCCACCACCTCAATTTCAGCTCAATCCTATCTTTCTGAGGGGGGGAAAGTGTCCAGGCGGCAACTCGCCCTGGGACCATTTTTGGGGCACGCGTTCGGTCGGCTAACTTGATCTCGAGATTCAGAGCATCTACGGAGCTCTCGAATGCACGAAACGCTTCAACAACATCGGAAACTTTAACCCGTAGCCTCGAGAGATCTGAACTCGGTCTTCTACCCGGGTTATCTTCGCCCGCTGGCGGCATCCTGCGTGCACCCCACGCCCTCCGCCGGCGCCAGGCGGTGGCACTGGCCCTCCCCATTCTGGGCGCAAACCGTGGAGTATGCGCGTATCTTTCGCCCTCCGACAGCGCCAGGAACAGGCAACCACATGTGAACCCTACCCCTGCAGGCCCGATTTCTAAAACAAGTGGCTGGGGCCCAGAACCTGAAGGATGCCTGCAGACGGATGGACCCTAGCAGGGGTGTGCGATGCCCCAGCTGGGAGGGGCTCGACGAAAAACACAAATTCGTCTGGTCGGCCAAGGAGCTCGGCGTAGAGACGCCCCAGCTTCCCAACCAGTGGGACGTTCGAGCGTCCATACACAGAATTCCTTCGCCGAGCTGCTTGGTTCCGTGGCTGGCCAAACGAAGAGGTGTACCCCCTGTAACGCCCCTCGCGGGGGCAGAAACCATTTTATCACAGCTGCTAATTGGAATGTCGTGATGCCTACTGCTGACGTCCCTCCTGCTTCGTCCACTTGATCTGTGATTTGTGATTATGCGTTCCTCCTCGTTCCCCTCCTCGTTCTTGTAGTCTTCCGCGTGCTCCTGCTCCTGCTCCTGTTCCTACTCCCGTCGTGCTTCTGTTTGATTTCGTCCTCCTCCTCAGCATTATCTTTTCCTCCTCGGAAAAGGGCGGGCCGGGCGTTTCGCCTGAGGCTTCCTCACCTCGCCTTACCGCCGCGCACACTCGTCTAAATAATGTGCGAAAGCTTCACAACTTGAGGGCGGGCCGTTTTCAAACTGTGGGTTTCGCCTGAACGCCTCGCACATTCGATTTAAAAAACTGCCAGGGCTTCACGGATTGAGGAAGGGGCGTTTTCAACATGTGGTTCTCGCCTTAGCGCCGCGCACACTCGTCTTGAAAAGTGCCACAACTTCACGGATTTAGGGCGGCTCATTGTTTAACATGTGGCTCTCGCCGTATCGCCGCGCATATTCCTGTATTAAATGTTGCAGGAGTTTCACGGATTCCCATGGTCAACATACCAGAAACGATGTTTCGGAAGGAATCAGGATTGTGAGGGCGCAACAATTACGTTGACTCGGGGTGTTCGAATCCCCACAATTTTGTTCTGGTGCGATTCAGGATCGTCAATACGTAGCAGCCAGGTCGAGGTTGATCCGTGGCGCCAGAGTCTTCAAACGGTTGCCGCAACAAAACAATTCCCTCAAGGGAATCAAACCCTCGCTGGGGCCTGTGAAGAGGGAGCTCGGAGGGAGGGTTCATGCAAACATTGTTGATGAGTCTTGGATCTTGGGTTTGCACTGGTGCCCCTCCCCTCCTCCTCCCCATCCTCACCTGCCCTCCCGGCAGCGGCGACAGCAGTGAGGGGGATAGACCTCCTCCTCATCCTCTTCCTCCTCCTCCTCCTCCTCTTCTTCCTCCTCCTCCACCTCCTCCTCCTCGTCGTCCTCCTCCTCCCCTCCCAGAGCGGCGGTAGTACATGGGGTCGACCCCATACCTCCTCCTCCTCCTCCTCCTCCGCCTCCTCCTCCTCCTCCTCCTCCTCCTCCTCCTCCTCATCATCATCATCATCATCATCATCAACATCATCATCATCATCATCATCATCATCATCATCATCATCATCATCATCATCATCATCATCATCATCATCCATCATCTCATCCTCCTCCTCATCCTCCTCCTCCTCCCTCCTCCTCTCTCCTCATCTTCCTCCTCCTCCTCATTCCCCGCCTCCTCCTCCTAAAGCGGTGGTGGCATTGAGAGGGGGTCGACCCCGACATCATTATCTTCATCCTCCTCCCCTCCTCCACCTCCTTCTCCTCCTCTCCTCCTTCCTCCTCCTCCTTCTCCTCCTCCTCCTCCTCCTTCTCCTCCCCCTTTTCCTCCTCCTCCTTTTCCTCCTCCTCCTCCTTCTTCTCCTCCTGCTGTTCCTCCTCCTCCTCCTCCTCCTCCTCCTCGTCCCCCTCCCTTCCCAAAGCGGCGGCGGCACTGAAGGGGGTGGACCCCGACCTCCTTTTCCTCCTCCCCGTCCTCGTCCTCCTCCTCTGTCTCCTCCTTCTTCCTTGTCCCTTCCGACCAGTTGACGCGCGCCCATGGTCGGGCGGCGCGCCCGGCCGGGCCGCCCGGCGCGGGCACTTACATGTCCCACAGGCAGGCATCCTAGCGCCCAACCCGCGGCAGCCCCTCCCCATGGCAAGGGGGCGTGGCCGGCGGCACCCGACACTGCCGCGGAGGGCACCTGCCCGTGGAGAGTCGGATGCTGGGAACTGGAAGTCGGGGCTGGTGCTCGTGCTGGCGTCGGTGCTGGCTTTGTCGCTGGTGTAGGCGCTTGCGTTGGTGCTGGCGCCGGCGCAGGCGTTGATGCTGGCGTCGGTGCTGGCGTCGGCGCTGGCATGAGCGCCAGCGTGCGCTCCTGGGAAAATGGTGAGCCGCGCAGCTCACCAGCCAGACTGCTGGCGTCGGTGGTGGCGTCGGCGCTGGTGTAGGCGCCGGCGTTGGTGCTGGCATCGGTGCTGGTGTCGGCGCTGGTGTAAGCGCTTGCGTTACGGGATACGGACGCCGAGTGCAGCGTGCTGGACGGTGGGCCGGCCCTGCAGCGCGCTGGATTCCCGGCGTTGGCGCTGACGTAGGTCCTGATGTAGGCGCTGGCGTTGGAGTCGGCGTAGGCGCCAGCGTTCGTACTGGCGTCAGCGCTGGCGTCGGTGGCGCTGGAGTCGGTGCCGGCGCAGGCGCTAGCGTTGATCCTGGCGTCAGTACTGGTAAAGGCGCTGGCGTGGGTGCCAGCGCTGGTGTTGGTGTCGGTGCTGATGTAGGTGCTGGCGTTAATGCAGGCGCAGGCGCCGGCGTTGGTGCTGGCGTCAGCGCTGGCGTCGGTGGCGACGGCGTTGGTGCTGGCGCAGGCGCAGGCATGAATGTTGGTGTTGGTCTCCGCGTCGGTGTTGGCGCAAGCGCAGGCGTTGGTGCCGGCGTAGGTGAAGCCGTTGATGCTGGCGTCGGTGCTGGCGTCGGCGCTGGTGTAGGCGCTGGCGTTGGTGCCGGCGTAGGCGCGGGCGTTGATGCTGGCGACGGTGATGGCAAAGGCGCTGGCGTAGGCGCCGGCGTTGGGGCTGGCTTCGGTGCTCACGTCGGTGCTGGTGTAAGTGCCTGCGTTGCTGCTGGCTTAGGCGCCGGCGTTGGTGCTGGCATCGGTGCTGGCGTCGGCGCTGGTGTAGGCGCTGGCGTTTGTCGCAGGCAGTGATGTTGACGTCGGTGCTGGCGTCGACCCTGGCGGAAGCGCTGGAGTTGGAGCTGGCATCGTAAGCATAACACCCGTCGTGCGAAACTCGTGTATCACGCAACTTGCCTTTGACATGTTCCACCTGCGCGTGCTCGCCAATACTTTGGCTCAAGGCTCAAGTGAGAGACTTGGTGAGCGCAACACTGTGGTGCTAAACAAAGTCGTTGTGCCCAGCATGGTACCGCAAGATTCAGTGATGCTAGATTCGGCCGTGGGATCCGACTCCGTCGTGGGGATACCGCAACGTGATGTTCCCCTCCGTCGCGGTGGATACCGCGGTGGAGCCCAAATCCGTCGTAGTGGATGCCGTGGAGGCGCACGGCCCCGAAGCGCTGGACCCCGACGTGGCGCTCGAACCCCACATGGTGGATGCCGTGGAAGTATCCCCAGCCATGCTGCCTGCAGTCATCGTGAGGGCGCCGATGTAGATGTCAGTACTGCACGTCCAGGGATGCCTCGGCATTCTCGACGCCGCTGGTGTCAATAATGTTGTATGCGCTGGTTTTGATGCCGGCGTCGATGCTCGCGACGCTGCTGGTATGGGCGCTTGCGCTAGTGCCGGCGTAAGCGCCGGGGTTGGTATCCGGGTTGATGCTGGCGTCGATGCTGGAGTGGCGCTGGTGCTGGTGCTGGCATGCTGGCATACTCGTGCAAGAGTCGATGCAAGAGTCGATGCTGCCGTAGGCGCTGGAGCTGGTGCTGGCGTGGATGCTGGCGCTGGTGCTGGCGTAGGTGCTGGCGCTGGCGCCAGCGTAGGTGCAAGCGTCGGCGCTGTGCTCGGTGACGGCGTCAATGCTCATGTCGGCGACGGATATT